CCCCAGCAGCTGCTTGTCCTCGGAAAAAAGGCAGAACCACGTGTGGTCACGAAAGTAGCTGCGACCTGCCCTTTCGTTCTCCCCAGCCCTACCCTCCCTCTACCTCCTGCTCCATTTACTCACACCGTCATCCCTCCCTCCCTCCATCCCACCCCCCAAAAAAGAAAAGCCTGCTAGTGGTTACTTTTGTCCTTTAGCCCAGGTTAGGGTAAATACGTTCCCAGTAGGCCATCTGGTCCCATTCCTGGACCCCTTCCTAGGGTTTCCATTAAACTCACCAATCGGGGCATTTTCAGTGCAGCCCTGGAACCACTCAGGAACCTCCAGGACTTTCGTCCTGTCTGGCCTCATTTAGAGAATCTCAGGCCCCTTTCTAAGTTCTGAGTCCAGTACCTGAGTGGTCCTGGTCTGAGCTGTAATGAATATGCATCACTACTCCAAGAAAGGCCTTCATGTTAAGGATTATTCATTCCTTCAGTATTTTTTAACTATGCAAGGTGTAGCTTGTTAGAATTGTTTTAATTCTAAAAATCTAGGTTGACAGCTTTGCAGATGATTTTACAAAATAACCTGGCCACAGAAATTCAATTTGACCAGCAACATTGGTAGGGTTAAGTCTATGCCTTTTTTTCTACCTTGCTGTCCCCCCATCCCTTTACCTCTCCCACCCGCAAAGACAAAACAAATGTTAGCTTGTGGGAAAATATTCTCTTATACTTGGGTTAGGGTGTGTGGTCCTAGAAAAAAGGGAACAGGCAGGTTCATAGAATCAGAGTGTGATAACTGGAAAGTGCCTTAGAATTTATCAAAAATAAGTGTCCGTTTATTGAGAAGACTCAGAAAGTTTGGGTCTTAGGGAAGGTCAGGTGGCTTGTGAGTCCAGTACTAACACTTTCAGTACTGTGGCCTAATTTGGCAAGGAGACCTAGACATCAAATTGTTACATCAGCTACAGCAAAAGGGACGTTGATCAAACTCAATTCAATTTTAGCACATCCTCTCTCTCTCTCTCTCTCACTCACACCCTTGCCTCTGTGCCATTCCCTCTCTGTCCCACTGAAGGTCTCTCCTATTTGGGGATTTTACAGCCCTTTCCTCTTTCCCCTCACTTAGGCTTCATGCCCTTCTTTCTTTCTCTTTTTCTTTCCTTTCTATCCCCCACCCTACCCGAGCCCCCACCATGAGATTTTATTTGGGTTTTTAAAATGAAACCAGGTGCTGCATAAAACAAAAGCCGAGTAATAACGAGGGAAGACTATCCAACGCCTAAGGAATGTGCTGAGTTTTATGACTCAGGCTGTCCTGGCAAGGAACTCTGACTTACATGGAGAGGTGGGTGGCACAGAGCACAGACCATACATGGCAGCCTGGCCTCCCCAGATAGGTCAGTAAAGGCAGCCTGTGACTCATTTCACAAAACCAGAGAGTCTGTTCCGTGTGGAACAAGGTTTCCTGGAGGCTAGAGCCAAAGGATCATCAGCCTTTCCTGCCGGGCCGGTTCAGCCTGGCATAGCAGGGGCCACCTTGAGGTTTAGAGGGGAAGGGAGCCTGGGAAGAAGGCCATCCCTGGGAAAGAAACAGGCATGATGGACTTGGACAAGGGTTTCTGGTGCCTCTGTGAGTTGGATAACATGTGAGCTGCAAAGGGATATGAACATTAGCATGTATTGTGGAGACGATGGCTTGCGAGCTCCAGGTGGCAGGACTGCCCCCCAGAGCTGTCTGCTCTTTGCAGCAGTGTGGTGATGAGTGCAGGAAAAGCTTGTCCAAGTCTGGTGGGGTTTCTGGGGGTGCCATCGCTAATGCAATCAGTACCTAAGGAGGAGTACCTAAGAACAGGAGTGGTGGACTTTATATAAACAACCAGAGAGACACCCAGGCACACATCCTCACATTCTCTGAATTCTTTTCAAATGAGCGTAGTAATGGGGTGAGGTGTACATTTTTCCTGTTACTAAGAGACAGCCTAAGAGAGCCGGGAGCTCTAAGGAGACTGTGTCTCCCAGCAGAGGTGGTGGGAGGGGTCTGCACTTGGGTGACAAGGATCTGTTTGTGTGCGCATCGTTCCACGGGCCTGGGCTGAACATGGCTGATAGAGCCTCTGGTCTCCGCCACCCCGCCCGCCTGCCCAGGAAGACTGTCACTTTCTGAATGAGAATGAACCTTGACTGGCATAAATGAGATCTCCGTGCAGCAGCCTCATGGAACAGGGCCTTCTTTTTCCTTTTCTTCTGTCTTTTTTTTTTTTTCTTTTCTTTTCCTTTCCATGGAATACACTTTGAAAAGCTACGCTTTTCAAAGCATTTTCACGGAAAAGGTGACTATTCCGTAATTGCCGGAAGAGCTCTGCTTAACTTTTTCACCAAAGTCTACTTACCTGGAAAAATAAAGTCTTTTAAAGACCCATGACTTCATAAATATTTATAGTGTGAACAGGCGTCGCTTCGGTTCTGCAGGAGAATGGGCTCATTCAGTTTTATTTATGATGTGACACGCGGGTGAGTGACATCCGTCATCTGGGTCGGCCCTCCACTCTGTTCCACTGAAGCATGTTTATGGAGTGATTATGCCGGCAAATAGTTGCTATATTTAGTCCCTCGCCTTCCCTAACCCCCTCTTAGCGCTTTTAACTCCTCAAACCAGCAAAAAGCCAAGCTTATGGTCAAGGGAAGATTTGAATCCTAATGACAAGGCACAGGGGCTTGAACAAGTAAGTGTTGTGAGAGCAGCTGACGAGTTGGGAGGCAATTAGAGTGGGAATGATGACTGTTATGGCATTTATACACGAAGGTGGTTTTGTTGGGTCTGTGTCTAGCAGGTGAGGGCTTTCGGCTGGGCATGAGGAGCTTTGACAGGTGACGGGCACATGCCTGACTGACGAATGCATATGGATATGTATGAAACTTTCCATCCCAGGGAGCTTTCTCTGGATAGGATCTCAGATCTGTCACTGTGCACCCCGGGGTTCTGGGGGCAGAGGCTGGTGGGAGCTCTGTGACCTGAGCTGGGTCCAGGTTTCTGGTGTAACCAAGGCTACCCACTTTCAGCCACATGTGGCCCGTGGTTGGGGGACAGCAGCTGCCCTCCATCAGCTATGGAGGAGGGAGGACCACCTCTGGCTTTGGGCCTTACAGCCCACATGCCCTCACCTAGGCATTCCAGGTGATTACCCCTGATCAGCTTGGCCACCTATTGTTTATCCTGGGAAGGGCCAGATCTTGGCACAGGGGCCTGAAGTGTTGCCAGCATTTATTTTTAGAGACAGGAAAATGTTTGCTTTTTGGCAGCTGCTCTTTTTTTTTTTTTTTGGCACACACCAGGATGTCGTAAAAAAGTTCAAGTGAGAGATTCCAAGCCCTAAATTCATGGTGTATGACATAGGCAATAGTACCGTGAACCTCTCAACAGAAGCCTTTGTGGATCCTAACAGCTTTCCTTAGCAGGCCTCTTGCACAGAACACGTCTCTCCTGCTGTACTCGGGCAGCAAGGCCTCTAGTCCACGGACCTCACAGCCTGGACATCTAAGGAGTCCCTTTTCAGTGAGTCAGCTGGTCTAAAGTTTTGTAGTGCTTACGTTCATTCATCTCCTCCTCTTCCAGTTCATAATCTAGTCCAACTCGGTAAGCAGAGAAAGAAAGGAAGATAGAAAGAAAGAAGGAAGGAAGGGAGGGAGTGAGAGATGGTGGGGGAGAGACGGGAAGAGAGAGAGAGAGCCAGAGAGCGAGGGAGAGCGAGAGAGTGTGAGAGAGAGAAAGGGAAAAGAAAGGGAAAGGAAGGAAGGAAGGAAGGAAGGATAAAGAAAGAAAGAAAGAAAGAAAGAAAGAAAGAAAGAAAGAAAGAAAGAAAGAAAGAANATTTGCTTGGTGTCTAATCCCTTTGGTAAGGAACTTCTAAATATTTATATTTCTGGGCCCTGTCTTCAAGAAGTTCATGATGTAAAACTGAAAGCAGCGAACCTCATCACACCTAGCAATGTCCAGACTAACAGTGTGGTGGGGGAGGCAAGGCAAATAATCTTGTCGCCAGAGGAGGGTGTAGCGGGCAGTGGCGAAGCAGCGGGTGGTTCAGTCAGTGATTCCAGGACTTGCCTTTTTTTCTCTCCTGCTTATTGATCTGGCTTTCCTGGCAGAAACAGGATAGATGAACTAGGAAGGTTAAAGGAGATGGGACAACATGCAGACCTATCCCACATTCCGCTCAGGCACGGTGTCTGGCAGTTTCATTCTCAGTTCTGTGCAAAAAGTAACCTTTGGATGGATGCGTGCTGACCACCAGGCCATTTTTCTCCAGCCTCCGGAACCATGGGACTCTGCAAGCAAGGTGGCCTCGTCTGAAGACTCAGATGCTGATCAATACTACGTTTATAGCCTGGGAGGACCGGTAAGCGGCATGTAGCCGAGTCAGAAACAAAGCTGGAAGCCCGGAGTGGGCTTAATTAACGACGTTGAGGTATGAGAGTGCTCGAGAACACGCACTCAGGCCTGGTTTCCTGGACACTTCCCTGCGCTTCAAATGCCTTCGTCCCTCAAGGTTTGTTCTCTTTAATTGGAAGAGGGTACAAAAGTTATCGTTATCATCATTATTAAATTTTCCTTGAAAATAAATACTTGGAACTGCACGTTTCTGCAAGAACCACAGAAGTGGTAGTGTGGCCCCTACAACCGTGGGGTCCAGCGTCAAGGAGAGCCAGTCCCCTCCATCTGGGAGTGCCGGCGGGGCGGGGTGCCGCGGTGTGAGAAAGACTTTTTTGTATTCAGAGCAATGGCCCCAAGCGCCGCAGCCTTCCACCGCCAGGTTGTCCTGCGAGCGAGGCTGCTGCTGGGAAGCAAACTGGCTCCGGCCTTCAGGCGGGCGGGGGCGACCCGGAGCGGGAGCTTGGGGGCGGGGAGAGTCTCGGCCTTTCACACCCTGGCTCCGTCCCCAGGGGCCCCG